ATGAAGCGAACAAACGAATACAAAGAAAAGAAGCGGCTGAAACTGTGAGTTGTCGACCGTAACGGAGAAAAGGAGCCAAACGAGTTCCCTCCCCCCCAGCGAAAAGATAAGAGAGGAGGAGGGGAATCCTTCACTCTCACTTAAACAGAGATTTCTACTGCAGAAAAAGGGGGGGGAGAACGAAATTTGAGAAAAGAAGTGTTACCTTTTGGTGGATTGTTTGAAAAGAGAAGATTTATTTTTTGAATGCGCTGTACGAACTTTGATAAATGTAAACAAAAATCAAGATGTCGGAGCTGGACGGAGAAACTAGCGAACAAGAAGGGAGGAGCTTCCGGGCGGGCGCTCTTTTGTTAGAGTCGGCTGTTAACTAACTGGACTGTGAATGATTATGATCCTCGCTGGGAAATGTAAAAAGTGAATAGAACTGTGACGAGCCAGGAAAGTGCTTCGAGAAAATCAACGGAGGTGGGAAAGGGTCTAGCTAAGAGAATGGCAGCGTTTAAATTCAAAGTCGAAAGACAGAAAAAGAGTAAATCCATTCTCAAAGTTTAGGACTTTTAAGAGGCACGCCAGAGTAAGGAATGCGGCAGTTGCAGTTTGTAAACAGGGGCGAGAACAGCGACCCGGAGGAGGAGGAGACGAAAAGCCGGAGAGGAGAAAGCGGGGGAAGATCCTTCTTGTATCCGGATGTTAAAAGAAGCCAGCCCCGAAATGGAAGATGGGTTCGGAAAGGCGCTTGAAAAGATTTTACTAACAATGCACCATTGGGACACTACTAATAAATTAACATGGACAGTGTACATGATTGGTATGATGAAAGAAGATTGACAACTCACTGAAGAAGCCAAAGAAGTTTTTTTTTTCAATACTACTAACAGATTAAGATACTAATAAAAACATCACTCAATCTTTTCTTGATCCCTCTATATACCCTCCCTCTTTTCTATATGAAAAGCAATAACATTCTCTCCTTTTTAGGAGAGTTTATATATATATATAAAAAAAAGAACTCTCGGATGTATGCCATCTGGGCCTGGTGATTTATCAGTTTTTAAGTTGTCTATCAGTTTTAGGACCTCCTCTCTCGTCACCTCAATCTGACTCAGGTCTTTCAACACCCCTCCAGAAATCAGCGGTTCTGGAGTGGGCAAGCACTTTTCATCTTCCACAGTGAAGACAGAGGCAAAAAATGCATTTAGCTTCTCAGCCATTCTCAATGTTGGACATCTGCAGTTATCCCCATTTTATGGGATGCCATGAGCCACATGTTGAGTGTTTTGTGGTTTGGCAGGGATTGGCTCTTTTTTTAAACAAAGTTTTTCCAGAAGTCATATTCATCCCACTATGTGTGTAGGAGGGTTCTGTATTTAACCAGTCTAAAGAGCTTAATGCATGTACTGAGACAAAGCGAAGCTTTATCTAGATTAGTATTTCTATGTCAGCGTGGTGCCAGTGGCCATTAATACTACTTCCAAATTAATACTACAGAAGAAACCACAAAACAGTACTGAAAAGTCTAATTTACCCTCTTCCATTAAATCTCAGCTTTTGACAGAGGTTTATGGACATCCGCAGTATTCCACTGACAACTAAATCAAGAATTGTCTCTCCCTATATGGATGTTAGAACTAGCTGTTGGAAGAAGCAATCATTTATCCTCTCTTGTAATTTCTCTCCAGTGGAGCTCCTTGAGTTGACATTTGCCCATCAGTCTGAAGCTGAATGAATTTCCCCATTATTATTGCCTTTGTCCCTCTTGTATCTTCTGTATCTCCCTTCACATTAGACTTCGTCCTACTCATATTGCTGTCTTTGATTGTCTTTGAAGGAAAACAGATTTCTGGTGCTTATTTACTGCAGACAGCTCATGTTTATTGAAGTAGTATAATGCAACTGAAGGACACCAGGTAATTGTAGCCAATCTTATCAAAATGCTTGTGTTTCCAAATGGTCATTCAATAGCAATCTATTAGCAGGGGGTGAAATTGTGCCATTAGGACAATCAACTAATGCATGCATAATTTTCTTGTTTTATTTATAAGTGAATAAGCCTGGCAATGAGGTGTTAAGGGACTGTTATAACCATTTGATTCCTGCCTTCCTGATGCTGCATCTGCAATGA